AAAAACAACTTTCAAAGCTAAATAAGAAAGCTGCTAATGAGGAGAATCCAATAGTAGCTCTATTACAGATAGAAAAGGTTAATTAACAGCTTCAAGATGAGCTTCAGCTGCTCTCAGAAAAATGGCAAACAAGATCAAACTCAATTTCAGCAAAGGACAAAATTCAAGCACCTAATAATAACAACCCTAAAGACCCAGCTGCTACTCTACAATTTATAAAGGAAACATATCAGAATATCTATAAAGCAAGGCAGTTAACAAGAACTTAATGAACTATTTTTTCCAAAATTTTCAAAAAGTAACTGAATCACAAAACCAATCACTTGTAAAACTTATTTTTGAAGAAGAATTCAGAAACATTATTAGCTTTCTTTCAAACAACAAGGCTTCAGGTTCAGATGGCCTAGTTATGAGTTTTACAAAGGAATTATAAATGAAATAGTACCAGTCTTGACCAAGCTCTTTGACTTCTGTTTAGAGTCTGGTACAATTCCAAGATCATGGTTCAAAAGTTTTATTACTCTAATTTCCAAAAAAGCTACTGACTTAAAAGATATTAACAACTGAAGACCAATCTCGTTCACAAACTGTGATGTTAAAATCTTTATGAAAATCTTAGCTAAAAGAAGTAACCTTATCTGCGAAACTTTAATCAGACATTTACAACAAGTCTTTATTAAAGAAAGATCAATCACAGATACAGCACTAGACATTATTACAGTTCTAAGAAATCAAAATAATCAAACAATATCAAACTGGCTTCTATTGCTTGATCAACAAAAAGCTTTTAATAAAATTAATCATAATTTTATTGCACATATATTAGAAGAAATAAAGGATTGTTAAACTTCTTTTCAATTCACAAACAACACACTTAACAGATGCGAACCTTATTTCAGAACCTATAAGAGTAGAAAGAGGAGTATGACAAGGGGACCCACTTTCTCTCTTGCTATACATTTTAGCCCTCAACCTACTTATACTCAAGATTCAAGAAGAAATTAATGGAATACATTTAGCCAATTAGGCTTTCAAAGCTGTAGCCTATGCAGATGATCTTACAATTGGAATAAGTTCAACAAATAACTGGAAAAAGCTTCTGCTTTTATTTTACAAATATGAAGCAGTTTCAAATACCAAGATTAACAAAGAAAAATCAATTCTACTTCCAATCACAAGTATGGCCAAAGCAACAAGTCTTACAAACCAAGAGCAGTACAAAATAGCCAATGACAATACCATACTAAAAATCTTAGACTATGAGGTTGATATTAAAGATAACCCAAAGAAAAAGCTATGGAAGAACCTAACTCAAAACATCAAGGAAAGAATTGAAGATGTTGTGTTAAAAAACCTCTCCTTCAAAGAAAAAATTCTTTTGTCAAAAGCTCTTTTTATTTCCAAGATCTGGTACACAGCATACTTACTTCCACCAAGCAGAAAACAACTAGGCAAAATCAATGATCTAATCTCAAACTGGATTAAAAACAAATCCCGAATGCTGCCAAAATATTCAACTTTTCAACTAGAAATCGACAAGGGAGGTCTCGCAGCCCCAGTCCTCAAGGACATTCTTGACTCAAGGCTTACTTCAATATGGATTAAACTCTTATGTTCAGACAGCTTCTGGGCCAGAGTTGAAAGATCTCAAATTGCTCAACAACTGCATGATAAAAGAAACATAACAATAGGCTATGCATTAACAAGACTCCCAATAAGGCTGAAAGGATGGCCAGACTTTTGGAGACCCTACCTCACAGCTTGGAAAAGATTAAAAGGCTCAATACTAAATACAAACAACTGGCCTTGGAATTTGTCAGATCTTACAATTGGAGACTGACCAGATTCCCAATTTTCAGTTAAGAATGCAACTGATTTCTTAAGGACTCAATCGATTTTATCTACAGCAGTGCAAACTCCAGTCAACACTAGCTATCCTTTTACCTAGATTAATACAACAGGAATTCTAAACAAGAAAAAAGATATTTTTTGGAGGTTACAGAACAATGTACTTCCTTTGGGATATAGGCTTATGCATGTAAACAAAAACATTAACAAAAACTGTCCTAACTGTCCAGATCAAATGTAACATTAGCAAAACTATTTGGGAAAAGGGATATAAGGCACTTAGATCCCCAGCAGAAAAGGTTCTTTCTACAACTATCGAAGAGATTTTTATAGCATCAAATACCAACTCTCTAAAGAGTGAGAGGCTGCATTATGACTACATATAAATATTATCTATGAAATATAGTGTTGGTATATCCAATCTATGTGGGGAAACAATACTATTTCAGAACTGGCAATAGGAAAAATTATTGAACACTGAATGAAAAGAAGTCTAATAATTTTAAATAAATTACAAAAAAGCAAGAAAGTACTTAAACTTGTTAAATTCATAGATAGTAAATATTTTATTTGTATATAATATAAAATTCCATAATATTTAATTTTAATAAAAAGAACACCAATTCACATATAAAAAAAAAAAACAAAAAACAAGGAGCTTACAAGTAACTTAATAAATATTAATTATATAATATTTATATAATAAAAATATTTCAAAAAATCAATAGGTTTCTGTAAAGTAGATTTTCTTCTTGTTTTATATTACTGGCCCAGCTTTTATTATTTTGATTATTGCTTTTATTTGGTTTACTATTTGATGAATATGACATGCTTGCTGCTTTTGCTTCTATAATAGGAGTTTTTTCTTGCTTTGATGACAAGTTGAAGTTCTTTTTTCTAACTCTAATGTCAAGAAGTTTTGGTCTTTTAGGTATCAAACTACTCATGTTTAACAGAAATAACTTTCTTTTCTTAGATATAAGAGCTTTAGTCCTATTAGAGGAGTTTTAAAAAAAGTTTTTATTTAGTTTTTGTAAAATTTTACTTTTTTTGTGTTATCAGAAGTGTACTAAAAAGAGTTTTTTTTTATATCTTTATTTAAATTATATATACAAATTTTTTTTTTTTTAGTATTAAGATGAAATTATGCCATTTAGTCTTTATTAATTTGCTTTTAATAGTTTATTGGTTTGCTTTTAAAGTTTATTAGTTTGCTTTTAATAGTTTATTAGTTTGTTTCTAAAGTTTATTAGTTCATTTTTAATTGTTTATATTTGCAAGAAAGTTTAAAGTTTAATTGTTCTTATTTGTTATCAATATTTTTTTTTGGTTTATAATTATTTCTGTTATCAAGCTTTGATCTTTTTTATTTATCATCATAAATTACTGTAATTTTCTTAAACCAAATACATTATTGAACTTGAGTTTATCTCAAGTAATTTAGTAGAATTTTGGTAAATGCCTAAATGCATAACAATAATGATAATGACAAATAAATATATTAACATTATACTACATAGTACTAGACTCCCATGTAAAACCCTCTAGCTATCAGACCTATATCTAATAACTAGTGTTCAAAATTAGTAAAATGTAACAGACCCAAGTCTTATATCTGGCATTTTATTGTAATTTTAATATCTTTGAGTTGTTTTGGAAGAAGTAGTTTTTGTTTAAAATAGTCATTAGGTATAGTTCTAAATCTGTAGTGTTTGTGAAATAGGTCTGCTATTTGTTATATAGTTATTTTGTTGTTTTTTGTATCAAAGAGAAAGAGTGATTATATGTGACTATTTAGTTGATAATAAGTTGTAAATAATAATTCAATTGGAAGGTATTCTTGTAAAATTGTAATGATCTGCCAACTTATTTCTAAGGTAACTAAGACTTGCTAGTTGTTTTGAGTTAGTAATTGGAAAGTATTGTTTTAATTCTTTTAAGTCAGATACATTTTGTGTTAGTTTAGATAAAGTTATAAAGTAAGCATTAGGCAAAGTCTTGAAGTTGAATAAGTTATAAAGAGTAGTTGCTACTGCTTATATTAGTAATCTTTTCTTGATTGGTAAGTCAAATGATAAGATTTCCATTATTTTTGCATCTATGTTTTGGGATATATTTGGTAGGTCTTGCATTTTTTTCTTCATATGCTTGATATATTGCATCTTGTATATGTTGGTTGTTTTGTATAGGTGTTGCTTTAATAAAGTTTCTGCAGTATTTATAACTTATGTTGCTTGGCCAGGTTTCAAATCTCTGATGTTTTTTTTTATTATTATTAAAAACACATCTAAGCATACTTTTTATTTAAGATGTTTTTGATTTTAATTTTAATTAATTACAGATTTTATAAAAATGATAAATGAATTTTAGAATATAACAACTTCCTTATTACCAAAGCTCATAATAAGTTAATTTCATGTTTTATTTTAAGGTTTATTATGTTTGTGATCTTCTTTATAGATATAATTTTATCTTTCCATCTGATCTGAGTATACCAGCATGATCCAGATAGCTGTTTTTCTTTTATGGATTGATGTTATGTTGATAACCTGAAAAATGTTTTCTATTGTAGATAAAATTGGCTTAGCTGCATACTTGAGAAATTTGTAAGCTATTTTCCAAATTGTCTTGCATTTTAAGGCAAAGTGTTTAAGTGTTTAGATAGTGTGCATACAATTGGAGCAGTTTTCAAGCTGATATGTATAAGTTGATAGCCAAGAGACAAAGCTTGATGGGCTAGATGCCATATTATGTCCTTTTTCTTGTTAAGGATTTTTTTAGTATATAGCCATTTGTATTGGCCTTCTTTAGAGTGTTTTGTGTTTGTTTAAAGGTCTAGTAAGGTGTTTAGGCTTTTTAGGGCTTCTCCAATCTTGTATTAGTTGTCATATGTTTTTTCTATCTTGATGTTTATTAGTAACTATGGCCAGAAACTGCTTGCTTCAATTTTGCCCTTAAGTCTTTTCTATGCATTAAGGTAAGGCTTTTATCAATCTATCCAACCTTTAGTTTTGAGTGAAGTTTGTGATAATGCATCTACAACAAAATGTTTTTTTTACTGTTAAGTTCAGATTTGATAATATCTTTTTCTACAATGGCCCAAAATGTTTTGCTTAACAAAAGTTTAAGCCATATTAAAAGTAATTTGACATCTAGCATGTTCTACCTTGCTCATATCTGAGCTGAAATACTAAGTATTGTGGTAACATTCTGAAGTTGTTTTTAATTCAAGTTGTTAGTAGTTAGTTGATTTTGTTTAGCTGTCTTCTGGTTAGAAGAAGAAGGTATACTAAGTAGAGGTTTCTTTTGTGATAGCTCTTGGATTTTAGTTTTAATTTTCTTTGTAAGACTTTCCTATATTGTTTTTTTTTGCATCTAAGTATGCTTTATTTGTTTATTTATAGAATATTATAATACATATTTACAGTAGAAATTTAAGATATTGCTAGCTCTAGCTTTTTTTGCTTGAGCTTTATTGCTTACTATTTTGTACAAGAGATTGATTTTGTATTTTAACTTGTGTTTAGTGATGTTTGTAATTGTACTGTTATATGTAACCATATTGTGACTTTTTGAAGTTTCTTGTTTTTTATATTAGTCACCCAAAAGATATTTTCAATTGTGAAAAGAGTAGGTTTATTTTTGTAGAATTTGAGACATTTGTAGGCAGTTTCTTATATCTTTTTGCTTATTAGGCATTTGAGAGCAAAGTGCTCAATTGTTTGGATTTTATAGAAGTAGTTAGGGCAATCTTCTAGATTTTTTTAGTTAAAATGTGCCAAGTAGTAATCTAGAGAAGTGCTTTGTGTGCTAATCTCCAAAAGATGTCTTTTTTCTTATTAAGAATGTATTTTGTCTTAATCTATTTAAATGCTGATAGCCTTATTTCTGGATTTGTTCTATTGTTATTTGGCTTTATATCTTCTTAATATTTGGTTAGTACTTTTTTGACTGTAAATTACCATAAATTGGTAATCATTTAGTGAACATATTTCAATATTTTCAGGTAACTATGACCATGTTGTGTTTGTTATAATTTTTTCTTAAACCTATTTCAGGCTATTACATAAGGTTTCTATTCTTTTGATCATTCTTTTAGTTTACAGGGAGATTGCTATAAGATTTCAATTATTGTTTTTTTTCTTTTATTAAGTATTGCTAATGCAATTTGCATTCTTTCTGTTTTTGCCTAAAAAAACTACTTGATAAGAGTTTTGTCTATATTATAAGCAATCTTGCATCTAGCATATTCTTGAGTATGGAAGCAGTTAGGCCACCTTGCTCATAACTAAGTTGAAAAGTTGAATATTTTGCAACATTTTGGAGTTTTTTTTGATTCAATTGGCTATTAGTACATCAATTTCATTTAAATGTTTTCTTGTTAGTGGCAGCAGATAGGTAAAATACCATATCTTTAAAATAAGAAGAGTTTTTGCTACTAAGATTTTTCTTTCAAATAAGAGATTTCTTTGTGACAGATCTTGTATCTTATCTTTTATTTTTTTCATATTGAACCAAAAAAGGCTATCTGGCTTTTCTTTTATGTTAATTTCATAATCTATAATAGTAATGTTATTTTACTCTTTACTAATTGTTTTATATTTAGCTTGATTTGTTAGCTCAACCCTGTAGGCATTTGAGGTAATTGGAATAAGTGCTAATTTAGTTCTGTTAACTTTGGCATTTGATGCTTTTTTATAACAAACTACTATTTTTTGTATTTTGATCTAGTCTAAAGAGAAGCCAACTTCTATTGATATATCATCTGCATAGGCAACTATTTTGAAGAGTTGATTGCTAGAACATATAGAAATGGTGATAATGGGTCTCTTTGTCTTATTCTTCTTTCAACTCTAAAGGGTTTAGAAATAAATCCTAAGTCTATAATATAAGCTTTTTGGTTAGCAAATAATGAGTTTATGATTCTAAGTTTGTATCAAAGCTTATTTTTTCTAGAACTAGTTAGATAAAGTGGTGGCTAATAAATGCTTGTTATGTGGGTCCAATAATTTTATTACATATTGGGTTATTCTAGTTGCTAATAGCTTCATGAATATTTTTGTATCTAAGTTTACTAGTAATAAGTAATATTGGTCTTTAGTTTTTAATTTTAGACAAATCATTAGATTTTTAGAAATTAAGGTAATAAGGCTTTTATTTCAGGAAGTTGGAATTTGTCCTGTTTCTAACACTTTGTTAAATAGTTTGGTCATTGTAGAAAGAAGCATTCTTTTGTGTCTTTGTAGAATTTATATATTAGTCTATCTAAGCCTAATGATTTGTTATTTGGAAGGTTATCAATAATTTTGACTAATTTCTTTTTTGGTAATAGGCCTGACCAGATGAAGGTTTTGTTAAGTAGATACTTTGGTAAGCTTTTTAGTGATCTGCTGTGTTCTTTTTTATATATTTTTTTATATGATTCTTTTATATATTCCATTGTTTGCTCTTGTGTATTTTCATTTGATGAGTTTGGAATTTTAATTTTTGTGCTATATGAGGTTATGTATTTCATTTTGTATAAGAAGAAGTATTTTGTTGATTTTTCTCCTTCTTCTATCCATTTAGTATTGGACCTTTGTCTTTATTTATCTGAAAGAAGGCCTAGCTCTTCTTGTAATTGTGTTTCTAAATTGGTTGCTACTAGTTTTAATTCTTCTAAATCAGGATTTCTTGCTAATTTGTTGTTTAGATTACATAGCTTTTTGTGTATTTTTTGTATTTTTTTCTCTAATGTTGGTGGGTATTTGAAGGTCTTGACTATTGACTGTATAATGCATTTGTGTAAATCCCAGTTAGCTGCATCTTGTATTTCTTTTAGTTTTTTGGTAACATTAGCTTTTAATTCTGAAATATTCTAGAATTTTCTATCAAACTTCCAAGAAAATCTAAAGGCCTGGTTATTTTTTAAACTAAGTTTGAATATTACTAATAAATAATTTGAGTT